AAAAACATTGTAAGCAGGAGGACAAAATTCGGAATTTCCAACACCGTCATGAAGCCACGTTTCAGAGAGACATACAAAATCAAAATTGGAAGAAGACAGAGAATTGAGAAGTGTTGTAAGTTTGGTGTTGATGCCACGGGCATTTTGATAATATATAAGTAACGAAGCCGATAGATTATTGTTAAGGGATGGAATAAAAGTAGTAACAAAGGAATTATTAGAAATATTTGATAAATCTGAGTTCGATATAGCTGGACTTACACGTAAAGATAAAACTGAAGTGTTGGATCCAAATATTAGCTGCTATTCGGCAATACCGAAAAGATCTTGCTTCAACTTAGTGATAGCCAATTCGTAAGCTCGACAATTATCGTGATCCCAAGAGGCGTGGTCAGTTTTAATATTCGCGTGTTTGCTATTTGATTTTAAGTTGCGACAGTTGACGCAGCACAAAGAAGCAGCTTTACATTCCTTCACGTTGTGATTTTCTGAACATTTAGGACAAACAATAATACTTCTACAAGAGCTCGATGAATGATTAAAGCCACAGCACTGGAAGCAACGTGGGATTTCCAAACCGCAATAAATAGAACAACTATTCAAGCCGATAAGACAGTGACCAATGTTGATAGCTTTGTTATAGGTAAGCGAGTCAACTTCTATTAAAGCCTGGAATAAGTCAGCTTTTTTTTAAGCGGAAGAAATTTTAGCAGTTTATAATCGCCAGGTTTGTCAAATAAGAAATCGTTTTGTTTGACTGCATATGACAAAACGCTGCTCTCATCAATATCGTTTGAGATGCCCGAAATTCTGATGCGAGGACGCAAGGTCTTTACTTCTTTAATATCGTAGGATGTAGATAGTTTTACGCTGGCAAGTTCTTTAAATTTACTAGCATCCTTACATCCAAGCAACACTGAACCATCTTTGAGATTTTTAACCTTGCCGATATCAATAGCAGAGTTCACCGGATTTACCTTAGACAAGATATCAGATTTAGTCTTGTTAACCGATTGATTCTTATCTTTGGGTTTAACAATCACCGTATCCTGAGAGTTTTTTTTTAATACTTCTGAATATGTGGTTAAAGTATTGCCGGCTGCAGAGAGTGTATCTGGATTAGGAACTCGGTTGAGCGCGAGAGTCAACTTGTTAACTTCAGAATGCAGCAGCGAATTTTCCGTACGTAGATTGCCCATTTCGAGCTTCAAAGCGTTTAACTCAGCAGTTAAAGGTTCAAGTGCTATCTTAAGGACATCATTGAAGAGACTTTTCAGTGAATCAGAAGTGAAACTGAGTGAAGGATTTTTATCAACATTAATATTAACATCAGATGTGGCAGATAAAGTAGATTTTGATTCGGGTTTTGAATTGCAAAAAGAACAGCACCATGCGGAGAGAGTAAGTTCTACTTTCATTTTCTCATAAATCTCTCTGGTTAAACCCGCACATCCAGCATGATAGATATACTTGCAAGTACTGCAGGATACATAATCATCGCAACGCAAAACTCCCTTTCCGCATTTCTTACACTTAGCGCCCATGATTGTAATTAAAAAGAGAAAGAAAAAGAAGTAAACAAAATTAATGATAGAAAAACTATTATAAAGAAAGGAGAGAGAGAAAAAAAACTAAATGATAGCTCGATACAGCGAAGCGAATAATATATATAAAAACACTGGACAAACCCAAACTCACCAACCCCACGAGGGGGTCAGAAATTTGTGCAATACAAAGGTCCTATGGCTTCTCACAAAAATAATAATATTCGCGCACAGATTCACTGGTATTTCGACTTAGAAACGAGAGAGACGCGAACACACACATTCGATATACCACCATACCACATATCTTGAATTGACAACAGTTTAATAAATAGAACTGAAAGGATTAAAGATCTAGGTATACTCTTTGATACTAAACTTCAGTTTATAGAGCACATTCATGAGATGGTACCTAAAAGTTTTAGAACGTACGGATTTATCTACAGAAATTTCAGAGATTTTACTTTACTTTTTTATTTTATTTTACACGAACCTTGTGTTCTCTATTCTTTTCTCTGGTGCAATCACAACTTGAATACGGAGCTTTAATTTGGTTCCCAATATATCAGATTCACATTCAACATATTGAACACGTCAAACGTGTTTTTTATAAATTTCATGCTTTCTACTTACCCAGCAAAAGGCTATGAACATTCTGCTTTACTCTCAAGATTTGACTTTTTACCTCTCCACTTAAGGAGAATTATAATAATAATAAAATTTTTAATATATCTTATAAATAATAAAATAGACTGTCCGTTACTTTTAGAACAACTCAATTTTTTAATTCCAAGGATTAATACTGGAGAAAGTAACATATTCTATTGTGAATCAAGCAGAACCAACGTATTAGTAAGATCGTCTGTTGCATTAATGTGCGAATTATTCAATGAAATTGGCGCCTATTGTGACATTTATAGTGACTGTATTCAGTTCATTACAAATTGTATTAAAAACAATTTCTGTTAAATAGGTTCATTTTTAGTTTTTTTTTTCTTTTTTAGGGTTTTTTGCTTTGTAGTCAATATTATAATTATTTTGTTATCGTTATGTATTCACTCTCACTCTATTAATCAATTATTTGTCAATATTTCCTGTAACTGGGTGTAAATACCGTAGGAAATAAAGATTTATTATTATTATTAAATGCACTTCAGTTTAGGTCACTTCTTAAAAATGTATGTGTTATTCCATGCTTCAAAAGTACGCACAGTAGGGGAAGTTGTGCAGGAGCAAATGATGAAAATTTATTAGGAATAAAAGATTTAGCACCTTCGAGTAATATCGTTTCTTCTACACACTCAGCTATTTCTCTTTCTAGTGGCTGGAATAAATACAACCAAACATTTTATGCTGTCACGCAGAATTGCTTGTATAATGTTGCGGACTACATTTTGACAAGAATTAGACGAAATTTAAAGTGTGTTAATTGTCTACAAATAATTGTTACTAAAACATTGTGTAGCCCTCACTGATTTCTTCTGTACTTCAAGATTTACCTTTGTGGATTTTAAGAACTGCATTGATATTGGTAATGACTTGAATTCAATTAAAAGAGTTTTAGTCTCATTGCAAGAGGAAATTAAAATGTTAAAAGCAATCATTTCTTCAATCAATACGTCAAACTTAAGCACTAACCCTGTTTTGGAATCAGAAAAAATCATTCAAGAAATATCGGAGCGTGAAAAAAGAAAGTCAAACATAATTATATACGGATGCAAGGAAGAAAAAGATACTTCTAACAATGAGCAGTTACAACTAGACATTGTTAAAGTGTCTAACATTCTTACTAATATGGGTCTGAATGATCTGAACATACATGTTTTAGACTGGAAAAATTTGACCCTATGGATGTAAATCGATGTCGTCCCATAAAAGTGTCCCTGGCAGCTCATGTTAATGTATTTACGGTCATTAGTAAGTTTTTAAACAACAAATCGTCTCCAATCTTTAACGGCATTTCCATTTCTCGAAACAGGACTCCTATGCAGATTGCTTTCTATAAAACCGTGAAAACCGAGTTAAATAATAGAATTTCAGGTGGTGAAAGTAATATAAAAATTAAATATACTAACGGCATCCCTACAACAATATCTACCGAGTCTTTAAACTAAATCGAGCACAACGAGGTTAGCGATCAACTTACTCTGTACTATCAAAATACACGTGGTCTACACAGTAAAACGCATGCATTTTACGTTAGTGCATGCGAGCTATTATACGACATAATTGTTGTAACTGAATCTTGGTTAAATGACTCAATTACGGATGGCGAATTGTTTCCTTCTAATTACACTGTTCTCCGATGTGAGAGAAATTTTAAATTAACTGGTAAATCTGATGGTGGAGATGTTATTGTTGCTCTGTCTAAGAAAATTACATCTGACTACCTGCACATTGATAGTATAGAAAATTTAGTGTCACAAATAGATTTTATAATTTTCAAATGTTATGTTGGTAAAACTTCATTCTTTCTGGTTGCTGCATATATCCTACCTGATACTTCTATTGACAACTATGAAATTTTTCTTGAAGCATTGGAAGCATATCTTTATGATAAACTATTTATTTTGCTTGGGGACTTCAATGCTCCTGGTTTTAGTAATTTCCATAATCCGGCGTCCTCTAAAATTCATTTTTTCCAAAATTTTTCAAATTCACTTGAAGGAACCCAGTTTAATAATATCTTAAATGCTTATGGAAACATGCTTATCCATTATTTTGTAATCTGAAACTAAACCTTGTTGTTGATCATGCTGAGTATCCAGTTGTCAGGGAAGATGCTTACCACCCTGCCCTATCAATCAATCTTAATTTAGAAACTTATGAAAAACCTAATCCTTTTCCAGTCACATATAATAACCGGTTCAATTTTTGGAAAGCTAACTTTAATATTCTTTATGGTGATCTTCTGCGTAATGATTAGTCTTTTTTGCAACAACTTATTGATCATGCGTTGGAGATGTTTTATTTTCATCTTTATGAAATATTTAAAGCTTCAGTTCCGTATTACAAACAACGTAAAATTCGGTTTCCTCCGTGGTTTACACCCGAAATTATTTACAATTTAAAACTTAAAAATAAATGTAGAAGCAAATGGCTAGCAAATGGTAATGACCAGTACGCGGGAATTTATCTCACCGCTGCAATCCCCTAATTGAAGTAAGGTGTCTTTAACGGCGAGAAGCGGGGACGCTTTGATCTGGTCCACAAGGTCGTAGCCAGTGCGTCGCTAGGAGTGTTTACAGCTAGTAAAAAAAACTACTGCTATATTACTATATTACTTCAAATAATAATACTCAATGCTCTTTTCAATTTTTCAACCACAGGACCACAGATTGATCTTGAAATGTTATATTATGTTGAAATAGTCCAAAAGAAAAACATATTTATAATCAAACTATCGCCGCGACAGCACTGGTTCTAGCGTATGAGATACAATTCCGCGCGTTGGTAATGACTCAATGCGTTATGAATTTAGGCGATTGCGAAGGATCTCAAATATCAATGGGATATAATTCTTACATGAAAAAGGTTGAAGAGTCCATAATATCTAATCCCACTGAAATATTCAACCATACGCATATGAAAAAAGGTACTACAAGGATACCTGGAAAGATGTTTGATGGTATTAAATCGTATGATTCTTCTCAAGATATTGTTGATGCTTTTGCTTCTATATTTTCTAATACTTATTTTCCTAAAATAGATGTTAGCGCACAAGATATTCCGTCAAATCGTCTTTGTGTTCAGCTACAACCAGTTACTGAAGATGAATTGCTTAAATACATGGCCCGTTTTCCTGCTAAACACACTTCTGGAGATGATCAAATACCGAGCTTCATTGTACATGATGTAAGATTTGCACTCGTAAGACCACTTTTGTATATTATTAACTTAGCCATATCATCGTCCACATTTCCTAGTTTATGGAAGAGAGCTCGAATAATTCCTGTTTATAATAAAGATGATAAGACGCAATTAAAAAACTATCGACCGATTGCCATTCTTTCAAACTTCGCAAAATTATTTGAGGAAATCATTTATACTTGAATTTTTAATGGTACTCATCGTTATATTTCAACTAATCAACATGGCTTCTTACCTCGGAGATCCACTACAACTAATTTGTTAAATGTTACACAATACATGGCTGAAGAAATGGACAAAAGAGGACAAACAGATGTTATTTATACTAATTTCAGCAGTGTCTTTGACACGGTGGACCACAATTTATTGTAAGCAAACTTAGTGCTTTCGGTCTTGTTCCTTCTCTTGTGAGGCTTATGGAATCATATCTTTCTAATAGAATTAACTATGTCTTTTACGATGGCTTTAAATCAAGTGAATACATGTCAACACCCGGAGTCCCACAAGGATCAAACCTGGCCCCCTTGCTATTTATGTTGTATATTGATGATTTCTTCTCTTACTTGCAACATCAAGGATTTTGAAGCTGTAGTAAAATTGCAGCAAAACTTAAATAAGATAGCTATGCATTGTTCACTCAATAGTTTAAAGATCAATTAGAATAAATGTTATTATGTTAGATTTACTCGTAAAATGAGGTATATTGCATCTCCTTACACTGTAAATGGTAATGCTTTGACACTTGTTGTCAACATAAAAAAATCTAGGTGTGATATTTGATGCAAACCTTACTTTTTCAGAACATATTGATACTTTAACTTCAAACTTGTCTAAAATGTTAGGTTTTATTATGCGTGCCTCGGCACATTCTAAAAATCCATTGTTATTAAAATCCTTGTATTTTGCGTTTATTGTTAGTAAAGTGGAATATGCATGTATTGTTTGGCAACCACATTACACAAACCGTCAATTACAGAGATGATTTTTGGAATTTCTTTCTTTCAAACGTGATGGAGTATATCCTTCTAGAAATATTGATTATTAGCTGTTACTAAGTAGATCAACATAAGTTTAAATCTCTAATTGAAAGAAGAAATATTTTAAACGCTAGATTTATGTGGAAATTAATTCATAACTATGTAGATTGTGTCCAGTTTCTTGCTAATATTAATTTTCATGTGCCACGTTTATTTTCGCGTTATTTATCTACATTTTGTGTACAAGCGCCTAAATCCAGTGTATTAAGGAATTCACCAGTACATTGTTGCTAACAACCTGTATTTTGATATATTTTTTGATAAAATTTAATTAATTAGGAATTAGGATAGTACTTTGGGTAGCCATATATTTATAGTAAACCTGTTTTTGTTCTAATGTTGATATTATTTTATTACATATTTATAGTGTAAAGAATGTATTTAATTTAAGTTTTCATTTTGTCCTGTTATTGGGGTTTCTCCTGTTGGGCAATAAAGGATGATTATTATTATTATTATTATTATTGTCATGAATTACACCTTAGAATGTGGATTAGAGTTGAGCAGAATAAGTCATCTGGTCTGTTCTGCAAAGAAACAATAATTTTTCAAATAACTAAATCCAAAAAGTAAGGTTAAATTTGTCGACACCACTGAAGACGGTTTTGACAAAGATTTCTTCCATTCTCGTCCTTAAATCCCCAACAACGTCTTCACTAACTTGAGCTCTCCCCCTCGGTTTTCCCTTAAAGACGCTACCAGTGTCGTTAAATCTGGTCACAATTCGCCGTATGTGCGTCTTCAAAGTTTCTTCCTCGATGACAACAGGATATTTCACCAGATAGACGTATCCATAGAGCACACCCAGTCCCCATCCTCATTTAAGACCCCATTACGGTAATAGGACATGATGATGAACGTGTTTTGCTCCAAAGAATAACCCGTCCTAACCTAAAAAAGTTGTTTGCAACACTGACCATAGCCATTCCTCTGTGTTCATTACCTGAGATTATTCCACAATGATCTGAAATTTTGATAAAACTGTTTTTTGAGACGCTTAAAGTTCGAACAAAGGAGAAGACAACAAATGAAAACAACAAGACAAAGTGTGGGAAAACGCACCAATAATACTCAGTAAAAACGGAAAAATTATTGACGTTCGACAGAATCTGATGAAGCGTTGGCCCCGAAACAGTGCAGCCACTAAGTAGCGTTAAAAATAAAAATTCCAATATTAGTGTGATCGTTCCCACAAAACTGTGAAAGGCGGCACACAATGTGGACAAAGTCATGCCTTCCTTGACTACAATATTTTATCATGAGCCCATATTTTTAATAAGTAAGAATTTAGAGCGCTTGGAAATTCAATAATATTAATCAAAACATAATTCTTGTATATTTAGGTGCCATGTTCGGTTATTTTGGGGCACTAATGCTGTTTGTGGTAAACAGAATCAAGTTCGGATCACGATACTGTAAACGCTAAACGGATTAATTCGATAGGTTTCTAGAAACATTTCGTAACTTTAACTTTATAATGTTTTATGTAAATTGTTAATAGTTTGTACCTATCATTTTCGGAGGAAGACCTTTCTATTTGCAAGGGATAATTACAACAACTTGCTGTCTAAACCAGAGTATGTTCGTTTTGTCGTTTTCGTGTAGTTAGATTGGTAAATAGATTAAGATGCAATTTTCAGTGTGTTTGTTACATTTTTAGTAACAAAGGGAAAAATTGTGATGATAAATGTAAGTTCAAACAATTTAAAGATTCGTTTCCTGTTTTATGTAAGTATCGGATTATTCAGTTTAGTATTCGCACCCACTTAAAAGTGAATTAATAACACAAAAATGACTTATGGCACACCAAATGAAACGATTTGGAAATACAATCCTTACTCTAATACACAAAAATTAAAAAAATCAAGTTCTTCTAGAAGTTATCATCAACTTTTTTTTTTTAATCAAATGACATAGGATCTCTTGATTTGAGACCTCGCGATGACCATTTCACAACGTTGTATACTATCCTCAAACATATTTGGCGTTTATGACTTCACACCAATATGACTCCCATTATAATTCAATAGGCCGTCACAACCGGATGTCTTAAACCCGCTTACCGATACCTACCTGAAAAGACCTTTTCTGGTAAAAGCACAGGGCAGGACTGAGTTTTGCATTTACCGACAACTGCGCCTTTCGAGTTTTTTATTTTAAGTAAAAACAAAGTAACTTTGTACTCAATCATTTTTTATTACAGCAAATTAGTTAGAATTTTGACATACAAAACTATTTACTTATTAACTACTACTGCTTAATTATTGATCGAAATAGTCACTGTCATCATCACTCGACTCTTCTAAATTAACAATTAACGGTTTTATCAACCGTGCCCTGTACTGGTCTTTTCCTGAATTTATTCTTCAAGAAGGCACTGTGTTTTGTAGTTTCTGCTACAAACCGCATTTCTATTTACAAATATATGTTTTCGGATCATCGGCAAAATTTTTTGCTATAATATTTCGAAAAGTATTTAAAAATAAATTGCTACAAAAATACTAATTAAATGGTCTATTATTATTATTAATTTTTATTTATTTGTCACTATTTAGTGTAAGACAATAATTTTCAAAAATTTTATTTATGTATGTATTTTTTATTAAAAAAATTAAGCTTGATAAACCTGTTTTTATAATTTGTAAATAAATTTAGTTGTGTTATTACACTTCTTTTTGAATTTTTGGAGGATATGCAACTGCATATCTCTGCATATATTAATAAAGTTACAGCATATTTGCATAAATTTCATGCATATTACATGATAATATTTCTCAAAATTTTGCTGCATACTTTTCGCTCTCTAGTCATGTATTATTTTTAATATAACAGCAATATGAATGTACCCTCTGGATTTGAAACAAAGAACGGTGACATCGTCAAAATTATTTGATTTATCAAAAAACTTAGTGGACCAGTTTTCTATGATTGCGATCGTACTTATTCATGATTTTATGTTTTTTGCTTTCAGTATCTTAATAATATTTTCAAATGTACAGAATAATGATTAAATAATTAAGGTACGGAAGAAACGTTACAAACAAAATTACTCTTAGTCCGGTCCTTCGCGTATCGGCCGTCCCTGGCACGTGGCATGGTTTACATTTACTAAGCTTTATGAAGGGTCGGCTGTAAAGTACTTTAAACGTCAAAGCCATAAACGCCTTATAGGTTTGAGGAAACTATATCTACTTCTTTCGATGTAGAACTGTAATACTGTTATCTAAAAGATTGCCATTTATATTCGTGTCAGTATACTAAAACTTCTTGTTTATAAATTTTTACACAAAATTTTTATCTGGATAAATTTTGTACATTACCAAAACAACTTATCTAAAAATACTAACCTGTGTTCGTAAGTCGCGTCACACCAGACACACCCATGTCCAGAAAGCTACGACATGCGCAAACCTAATACCCATTAATCAGCCTGCTGGTCACTTGATGAGCCAATCGCCCAAAACATAGATCAAACACACTTAAACAAATAACGCTACCATTTTAATCAAATCGATGAGCTTGCCATTAGAACAAACTTGTCAATTATTTTTTCATCAAATCGGAAATCGACCCACACTTTTATTTAATCCACACAAACGCCAGTGTGGTATTTGGTGTAAATATTTAAGTTTTACTTTTGGACTGGATTTTCATTGCGTATCGTCGACGTCCATTCCGTTTTTAGTTTTCCATGAAATTTTAACCCGGAAAATTGTCTATGTTTGGCTACGATATCCCGTGCTAACCGTAAAACGAGCAACATAATAAACACGTCCCATTCTTGATTGCACCTCAGTCGAAGTCTAAAGCTTGTTTATAGGACGCCACACTTGTATTTTGTATTCTGGTCCGTCTGCGAGGTAGTCATTCAGAATTAAAAAATTTAACTATTGTCGACAGACAACAGAGAAATATTGCAGTAGTTCAAGATTTCTGACGAATTTAAGAGTAGTAGTGTAACAACATAACCAAAAGTTAAACCATCGGTTTCCATGACAACTAGACGTATATCTTTATTTAGATAATTTTTATTATTTACAGCTAAAACTAAAGCAACACATAAATACAGGGTGTTCATTTTATCTCTTCACCCCTGAATATTTCTGCATAAGCAACCTATTTTACGCTTCATAAACAATTTTGATT